TAGTAAAATAATCTTTCAGCCTATTGACGGTAGTAATAACAAGTTTGAAATAAATGATGGTAAGATTAAACATTATATTTTTGAATTTGTTATTTCGTAAATCTTTCTCTTCTTATATAAAGTTATACCTGTAGAAATTTTTGGGAAACTCTGTGAGTTAAAAAGAAAAAATGGATATGATCTTGGCAGGCATATAGGAAACTTTCACGAATCTTCAGCCGCCGAAGAAATTCCTCTTTTCTCTGAGAATGCAGCTTCTTTTCGCGATTCACTCGAATCTTCAGCCGTCGAAGAAATTCTTATTTTTTCTGAGGATGCAACTGCTTTTCGCGATTCACTCGAATCTTCAGCCGTCGAAGAAATTCTTATTTTCTCTGAGGATGCAGCTGCTTTTCGCGATTCACACGAACCTCCTAACCCGAATCCCGTTGACTCCGAGCATGTATTCGTTACGCACGAATCTCACGAATTACTTAACACGAATCCCGAGCATTCATCTACTACAGACGAATTCCAAGAATTCATTGATTATCCAAACACGATCATCGAATATGAATCCATCAACCAGGTTTTTGACTCGTTTTAACATCGCTTTCGATCTCGAGTATAATTGTCATGTACATCATTAATCCTCTAACATGGAGAAAGTTACCCAACTTATCTCTTGTTTGCAAGTCTTCTAACAAACCTAATTATATATGTCTAAACTATTTATCAAATTTGTATTCAGATATAATTTCCCATTCGATTACATGAGAACAATTATGTGAAAATTTCAAGTTTGGTTACCTTTGTTGGGATAATCTACGTGAATTATGATCGTCGCCAATATCTTTTTCGACGAAAATTTTGCCGAGAATAATGCTTTTATAATTAGTTTAAGATTTTAAAATCATTCTTTTCAATGTCGGCGAGAAAGTTATATAAAGAATAAATTAATTATTTTCAAAGGTATCTTGCAATTGCCAGGACGTTACTGTTTAAGAAGCATAAACTCATTAAATGACAATGACGTAACCCTCTAAAGGAAGCAGATGCATGCATTCAGTTAATAATGAAGACAATCTGTGATTTGGACTAATCGACATAACATCTTTCAACAAACAAAGTACTAGAGTGACTTTTTTTATAGAATTTGTTTCCTCAAGATTCTTGACGATAATCTAAATAGCATTCGGTTGATAATATATTTTAAGAGAAGGTAATTTGTAAAATAGAATACGAACATGTCACGTCAACGGATATATATATTTGAATTTAATATAACAATTTCAAAAGGACGGAGTATTAGCGGGAATATTTTTCGCAGATGCGACATCAACGGCGAAATTCCTTCGCTAATGCGCCCCTCATATTATCACATCTTTTTTTTTCCCAATCAGGTGTATTTCATTTTCCCTATTATGGAAAATCTCGAGTCCATCATTATGTATTTACTCTTACAAGTTATAGTAAGTAGTCTATGGATAATACGTCAAATGATGCTAAATGAATGATACTATCCTGCCGGTGAACGCCAAATTCTTGTTAGAAGCTCTTAGATAAATATAAATATAAAAACGACTGTCGCGTCACATTAACCCAACGTTTATGTTTTTACATGAACCACAGCATGTGACGTATGTAGTTCGCAGCTTTTGTAACCTTATGCATTCATATATAAAGATCATGATTGTAACAAGAATAAACCAAATAACAAAGAAACACTCATATTTAAATTACCGAATCGATCAAGAACCTTTTTTTGATCGTTACACGATAATTCTGCGACAAGTCATTCTTTACTCTATTAATGTGTTCAATATGAATTAAAATAATTAATAAAAGTAAATGTCAAACCATAGATTGAATAGTATTAAAAAAAAACTTGTTTTAAAATTTATATTAAAACTAGTTTTTTAAGAATTTTAAAATTTTTTAATAAAATAATTTAAATATAATAAAAATATTTTATAATTTATAAATCAAATAACTTTTTTTAATTTTTATAATTAATTTTTTAAAAACATTCTTATTCTTATTTAATTATACAGTTTGGGACAAAAAAACTGGCACTCAATTTTTTTTATTAAAATTAATAATATTATTTATTAAATAATTTTT